TACGCTCCTCCCTCTTTTGCTTTCTCAAGATATTCAGAATGACGGCAGCCTCTTTGATAGCAAAGTGATCGGCAATGTGCTGCAGGTGCTTCAGACTCCAACCGACTGCAGATTGTGGACAGCTTCTTGACCAAGCAACAACGTAGAGGCTGAAAATCAGTATGTAGACATCGAGGATATGCGGTATGCTGTGTGAATGTTGTTTACCCGTGCTTCCACTAGGCAGCTTATCCTTTGCGACTAGGTCGCAGTCCGTCATCTGAGGAACCGATGCGACGATCTCCTGGACGAGGGTCAAGATGGCAGTATTTGCTCGATCACACTGAGCGGCAACTTCAGGATCACAGCTCTCGGAACAGGACTGGATGATCTCCTCGCAGAGAAGTATTCGTGCTATGCGAAGCACGTTCCACATCTGGGTGATCATGCGATCGGGGTAGACGTCATATACCCTTGGGAATCCGTCGGGTACCAGTCTTACTCCATCGGAATCAGATAAGCTTTTGCGTTTATACGTCCAAGCCGGGCTCGCTTCAAGTGCAACAATCTCGAGCTTTCGATCAAAGTACTCGCTCTTCGTTGTCCTTTCTTCCGCCGTCATAAAGCCCTTGCGCATCTCTGCGGCTAGATCGGTTATGTCAAGCATCAATCCGCTGAGCTTCCACTTCGGATAGTCAGTATTGACGAATTGTGCTGCGTGTACTCGTATTTGTCGTATGGAAGGGTCCACCACTCGCCCTGTACTCAATGAGCATATCGTCGCGTTCAGGGAAAGTCCCATCAACGCCCGTAGCTCAGTGCCTTCCTTGAACGACTCTACACCTCGCAGTTTGACCAATGTGAGAGCGCCCTCGATATGGGCGTGTCCTGATGTGTTGATCTCCAGGGCAGACTTCATGATCTTCTCAAAGAGATCCAGCAACAACGCGCCTTCGAAAGTGGATGCCGCTTTTGCTGTCGTGGAATTCTGCAGGGCGATGTTGATCTCCCGTAGTGCTTGACAGTACTTTCTGCGTCCTAGATCTCTTGCAGTCTCCGAAGAAACCTGATGGGACAAGAAGGCGAGACTGACCGCCTCGATGCTCAAAGTAAGATATTTGGGCGCGGATCTTGGGTCTAGATAGTTGTATAGGAAGTCCCATGTGCGACTAAAATCGGAGACATAGTACGTGAAGAACATGTCTCTACCCAGGGTCAAAAGGTCTTGGGGTAGATGTCGAACCTTAAGCTTGACTTTGGGTTCGCCAACACATCGTTGCTTCAGTGGGGACCTTGTCTTTGCTAGGGCCTTCGTCCGTACAAAGTCGGTCTGGTCGCTGATCCGAATGTTGATCGTGTCGCGATAGCCGGTGCATGCTGCTCCCACTCGAATGCAAGAGTTGCAACTTGGCCGTTGCAGATCACACTGGATGTGTCAGTAAGAAATCCCAACTTTGGATTCGAGGCATACTCGTAGTCTTCTCTCCCTACATCTTTCGCAAAACTTGGATGGTTTGCCGCGGAACACCATCAGATTCTCTGCAGCGTGAACGGGTTGTCAATCTGTGGGCCTGTTGAGCCTGAATTGATACTAAAAGAAATAAAGTGTAGATTCAATCTAATTGACAAGTCTCATTTTACCAAGCAGATGAAAGTGGTTGTGTGGTGTATAAGGCTGCCGGCAGCATGTAAATGACTGGAAGCTGACTGCCGTACTAGTCCCAAGAAGGAATGCATCTCGTGCTGCGTCCACTAGCGCGATGTAAGCATGAAGGACGACTGCCAGCCAGTCGCGTAGGGGGTAGATGTTGCATTCCGAGGTCTGGCCTATTATCTAATAGTCTGAACTTACTGATGAAACGCCTCAAGAGGTTATCAATGTTCCACAGCCGCGTAACTCGCAAATGGCTTTGGCCGCTACCTACATCATCGTGCATGGATTTCCAAAGAAGTGAGGTGGGTGGGAAGAAATCAGGGCACCCGATAAGACATATGTCGCGCCTCCACCTCCAAGCCAGGTCCTATCCTTATCTACAGCTCGAGGGCGAGCTATACATGTATCGTAACACGGCGCACATTTTGAGCGCATCGCGGGAATCGATGAAATCTTGAAAAGAAGATAGAGGTGCATTCCATGCTTGCAGTCGATCTAGATCTTTGATGAACAACGAAGCCTAATCGCTATCGTCGTATTTATTTCCAACCCCAACATCACCTAGTAATATGTCATCAGGCGCCGGGCCCCTGTGATTCCTCACCCACTCTGTCTCTACGCGGAAGAAGATCCATATCCATCTTCGCAACACCTCGAGAACTTCCATTGTAAAGATGCCCCCTTCCAAATCGTTGAAATGATCCAGATGCACACTGAGTTTCAGACTCCATGTGCACCTCAGCATTGCGTCCACTACAATCGCTGCATAGTAGAATTCTTTGGCATGGAACCAGCGATGCCGTCTTAGACCCCGTGGGTATTCTGGGCTATCCCGAGTACGGGCATTGGAGAAGAGGGTAAGATCCCAATCCTTGGCTACGTCCCAATAGAAAGAGTAGCCAGAGTTTACCACCACTGCGACGAGCCACATACGGAACAACGTCGCTTCCGAAACACCAAAGCGTGAAGGATCAGGCGAGCGTTGCAGAGCACTCAGTATGATGACAGGAAATGCGGTCGAGTATTTCAGTGCGTTGGCCAAATGCTGGCCACCCCATCCTGTCGCTGGACTGATCTGACCAGTTTGCTTGTTCGCCTTCTGAACACGATAGTATTCCGTGATACACTGCCGCAATCGAATCATCGAGGGTATGGCAATGATGAAGGGAACCCAAAACACGCCGCCGCAACTTCTGTTTGGAGGCCCTGTTGAGCTGTGCGACGACGAGAAGAACATGCACAGTGAGACGAATAGATCGCCCAGCACCTTCGCATAACTCGTCAACGCATCGGCGAGCAGAATGTCTCCAAACTTTCCATCTTGTGCTTCTGCGATGCCACCGATCGATATACGCTTTAGCGTCGCCAATGTACGAGTCCGTCCATTGCGACTAACGAATGGCAGCGGTATGACGAAGCCAATGACCAGTACCAAGAGGTAGAGGTTTGGCAGGATTTCCCAAGCGGCAATGTCTGTAGGGCTGCCGTGCGTAAGGGTCCAGAATAGGAGCAGCGAGAGGGCGAGCGGGATGGAGAGGAAGGTTGCGATACGGTAGCAGGAGAGGTGGTGCGGGATATGGCGGGGTGAGGTACGGCCCGGGTAGCGGATCAGACTCGGGACGTCTATCTTTATGAGGGTGAGGTAGTGGAGGTTTAGACCCCAGGCCCAGATGCCTGTGCGGCAGTTAGTAAGGTGGTTGAGAGCAGATGGCGTGAGCGTTCGCATACCCAGGACTATTATAAGAGCGACGCGATACGGCAGGGGCAGCACGCGACTGAAGCCATCGATTTCTGGCTCGACGGCGGGATCACCGTCCATTTCTCGAATGCGCGCTCGGTTCCGTGGCGGTTGCTGTGTCCCAGCCTGTTCTCTGCCGTATGATCATGAAGCTCCTCGATGCAAAAGACACCCCCAATTGGACCCTCTCTTCACAGCTATCTCCGGTCGTGTTGGCGCAAGGGGTTGCAGATGTCGCGATAGCGTGTCCACTTCCCCAAGGCGATGGCATCAAACACGCTAGCTAATTTACAAGCCACTCTCCAGCCGCCGTTGCGTTACGTCAGCATGGGCTTCAGCCTCACGCGCGCTAGCTGCATCGTGCCTGGCGGAGTGGATCTTTGGTTTGTGCGACGACCGCGGGAGCTTTGCCTAAAGCACAAGGCCATGACGCGATCATCGCGACGACAAAGTGACGCTTCTCCGCCGTATGCTATTGGGTACCTGACTTTGGAGGGAAAACAACGCCTAGATCTCTAGGCTCGCTGCACTACTTGCTTCTTCTCCACATACCAAGGTTTCCATTGACTGTCCCTACTTCGTGCGTCACACCACCCAGCACGACACACAGCACCTTCCACTTCATCTCTGTCACTCTAAACCTCCACCCTTACCTTCCCCCACTCCCACCTCGTCAATTGAAGGCAGACAGCAGGACCAACAGCAATCATGTCGCCTCTCTCTGTTCCTAAAATTTTCATGGCTGGCGGCGCCGTCGGCTTCGGCTACTACCTCTTCATGCGCCAATACTGGTTCCCCAACCCGTACAAGACACAGGGCGTCCAGAACATTGAGGATCGCTTCTCAGCTGGCGGAGGCCACCCCACGCACACACCTGCTGGAGGAACCCAGCGCGGTACGGGTACAATGAGCTCCCCAGACTTAAAACCCTGGAAGTACATAGAACGGAGTTTGCTGACATCAAGCTTGTAGGCTCTGCGTCCGCAAACGAAGGAAGGCACGACGGCCCGAGCAAGGGCCCAGACTCGGAGCACTTCAAGAAGAACATCAGCGACCAGCAGAGTGAGGTATGTGGCACACTGATTTCGATGCCCAAGAACTGTGCTAACGTGCGATAGCCTGTCTGGCCGAGCAAATTCAACGAGATACAATACAACAACCCCAAGGGCAAATAAGCGACTCCGGAACGATCGAGCAGACACAAAAGCATGGCAACATATTGCCAAGGGGCATTGGGCATCTGATGAATGGCATCATTGGCGTTTGGCAGATAGCGATGCACGATAGCATCCGGTAGATTTTTGAAACCCTCACTGTTGCGGCCAGTTGAGCGCAATGAGGCCCCCAGATAATCGAGAAATAACAAAACCAACTTTCCAAGGAGCGCCCAATGCTGTGTCGCTGTCAGCGACTCTCGCTACCTGATGAAGTTCATGCTGTTCCGCGTAGCTATGGAAGTGGAACTACACATGCCAGGATCATATTGACGAATAAGCAACGTCACACCGCAACAAAACGAACCGATGTAATGCAGCGAAGGAATTCAGCAAGACAGTGTTCACACGCGCTGGCTGTTTGAAAGTGGGACGTATACAAATGCTGGCGATTATGTACGAAAGAGTCAAAGGCCTAGATCTTCGCATTGCCCGTTTTCCTTGCGGCTGTGTTCCTAGCAGCATCCAACACAAATGCTACATGATGGCTCAAAGCCACCAGATCGCCGTCAGCATTGTGTACCCACACTTCCAAGTCCATCCTACCGTTTGCCACCTTCTTCATACCCGCCCTAACCTGCAGCCACTTGACTCCCTGCGGCGGCAGCGCTTTCTTGATGTCCAGATTCAGTAGGAGGGTTGGATACCAAAAGGGTCCCTCTCCTTCGCCCTTGATTGACTCAACCATCAGCGGGAACATGTCTGCGACAAAGCCGACCGAGGAATCCGTGAAGTTTGTCCCATCAGAGAAGCAGATCCACTCATCAGCGAGATGCTTTAGGCTTCGTCCTTCCCGAGGGAAATAAAACTTCACCCTCTTCGTCGCTTTTCGGAAGTTGGCGTGCGGCAATTCTGGTTGGAGCCTCCAGTTTGTATCTTCATCATTTTCCAGCTTTGTCAGGTCGACTGACGGGACGGGCGGTGAAAGCTTGTATCCGACATCTTGGGTGAAGCCCTTTTCCGTATCCATGTTGGAGTTTGTGACGTACGCGACGACTTCCTGTCGGCCATCTTGCTCCATGGTCACATGTACGATAGACGTTTGGCGACCAAGTTTAACATCATCGACTTTGTATGTTGCGGGCCCGGCTTGGGTCCGTCTCAGGAACTCAATATGGAGAGCTATGGTGTGTGGCTGGTTCTGCTTCGCCAAAGTTGTGCTGAAATGTGTTTTGACTACCTCCAGTATGCTAAGAAGTCGAGATGTGGTTAGTCAAGGGTGTGAAGCAGAATGCGATGGGCCTTACCATCCTGTAACGTAGCCACCATTAGGAACTGTTGCCGTTAGTAAAAGCGGATGATGTTATCTCTGCTGGGGTCTAAAATACCGCTTCCGATGCTCCAATCATCGTGTAGTGTACATGAGTACGTGTTGGAGGACAGTTTCTGTACTGCAGTAGCTTCTTCCCAACTCGGCATCTTGACAACCTAATAGTGCGAAACTTTCGTGTGTTTGGAGAACTGATAGGCCTATATGGTCAGGCTATCGATGTTCGAGGTTGTCGCAATGCCGTTGACCTCGGGAGGCCATGCGCAGCTATCGCGCCGCTAACGCCCAAAGCAGAAAGAACCTCGGTCATGGTTGCCCGGAGTTGTGGGGTTTACCCCGGTCGACTAATCATGGCCAGCCATCTCAATGCGCTGCGTCTGCCCTCGGTATTCCCAGGTCCGTTAGAACGCGACGGGCTATGTCCGTCTTCTCGTTCTGGCATCCTTCTACTTTTACTCTACTCCCTCCATAAGATTCCTTGGCTCGGTACTGATCATCAACACGACACCGATCTTCAAACACTAAGATGCCGTCCGAAAGCCAGTATCCTAGCTTGCCGATCCCAGACGTTGATCTGGTAAGTTTGACATACGGAGATAAGCCCTCTTGTGGAACTAATGCTGACGTTTGTCCTTGATCGTAGTGGGCGTTTCTCTTCGAAAGGAATGACAGGCCATACGCAGATGACAAAGGTATGTTCTCATGTTTTGTCAAACATAAGTAATCACTAAAACAGGAAATAGTAATCTACTTTGATCCCTACACTAAGCGGTCCTACACATACGCCCAGGTCAAAGATGCCGCTATCAACTTTGGCAAAGGGCTAAAGGCACTCTGGGACTGGCAAAAAGGCGATGTCCTAGCTTTGTACACACCTAACTGCATCGACACACCAGCGATAACATGGGGTTGCCACTGGGCAGGCGGTATCCTGTCGCCAGCCAACCCAAACTACACAGTCGATGAACTTGCGTTCCAACTCAAAGACTCCGGTGCAAAGGGCTTGGTGACACAGTTACCTTTCATCAAGAATGCGCAAGAAGCGGCAAAGAAGGTTGGCATTCCTCTTGACCGGGTGATCGTGATGGGCGACCACAAGGATCCTTCTTACCAAGTCAAGCACTTCACCAGTATTATCAACACAGCCGGGTCTTCCAAGTGGCGGAGAACAAAGGCTAGCAATCCATCGGAGGACCTTGCATTCTTGGTCTACTCCAGTGGAACCACAGGTCACCCCAAGGGTGTCATGTTGACCCACCGCAACATTGTCGCCAACACGATGATGATCAAAGCCGCGGAGGCTGGTAAACTGCAACCCACAGGAGGACCAACTGGCGAAGGCGACAAACTGCTGGCTTTCCTGCCCTTCTTCCACATTTACGGTAAGTTCCTGCATGCGCTCATCTAGGTGGTTCTCAACTGACTTCGACTAGGTCTCACGTGTCTAATCCATCAAAGCTTGTACTCTGGTCTCCAACTTGTTGTAATGCCGAAGTTCGACCTGGAGGACTTCTGCAAGTTCATTCAAGAGCTCAAGATCACATTCGCGTATGTGGTCCCGCCGATCGTTCTGCTCTTAAGCAAACACCCTCTTGTATCGAACTACGATTTGAGCTCGATCCGGATGATGAACTCCGGCGCGGCCCCTTTGACAAGAGAGCTTGTAGAGGCAGTTCACAGCAGACTGCAGATCCCTGTCAAACAAGGATACGGTCTTTCGGAAACCAGCCCAACAACGCACACCCAACCCTGGGAGGACTGGGACAAGACCATCGGATCTGTGGGCAAGCTTCTTCCCTACCAAACAGCGAAGTACATGTCTCCAGAGGAAAAGGAGATGGCAGTGGGTGAGGTTGGTGAACTATGGATCAAGGGCCCGAACGTCTTCAAGGGCTACCTTAACAACCCTGAGGGAACCGCGCATGCAAAGACAGCAGACGGGTACTTCAAGACAGGCGATGTTGGATACCAAGACAAGGACGGAAACTTCTTCATCACCGACCGCGTGAAGGAGCTCATCAAGTACAAGGGGTTCCAGGTGCCACCTGCTGAACTAGAGGGTATCCTGGTCTCGCACCCGAAGATCAATGACGTAGCAGTCATCGGAGTCTACTCGAAAGACGATGCCTCTGAACTACCGCGCGCCTACGTCGTACCCAAAGATGGATTGGGCAAGACGGATGAAGACGCGAAGGAGATCATAGACTGGTTGAGCGCCAAGGTCGCCCACCACAAGAGACTCCGCGGCGGAGTGAGATGGGTTGATGAGATTCCGAAGTCTGTAAGCGGAAAGATTCTTAGGCGGATGCTCAAGGTGAAGGCGCAGGAGGAGGAGGATAGCAAGGCGAAAGCGAAGTTGTAGACTACCTTTACCTCGAAAACGCAGTATATAAATGTCAATATACACGCGTCTCTTACCAGCTGGACCCTTGAATCTTTCTTTAATTGCCGATCGCTCTCGCCCTCCATCAGCTTTCTTCTACCTCATCTCTTCTACTCACCTGAATAATCTGGAGGACTAATTCGCTTTTCACCAAGCCTTCTCTCGTCCAGGAACGTCAATACCGTCATATATCCTACGTGCAACCTTGCATGATCAGCAACATGCAGAGTGAGTCCGAAATTTAGAGGATATTGATGTGGCTCTTCCAAGCTAATGGCATACCAGCCCCCAAGCCCACGCCGACCCCCAGGGCCGCTCCGGCTCCCAAAGCCACTACCAAGCGCAGAGCGGAAGAAGACTACGTTGAAGTCATTGGAGAAAGGATAATTAAAAGGCGCTTCGAACCAGTTGCCAAGATCTTAACTGAGAAGGAAGAACTGGACTCTCCGTATCAGATTTCCGTCAGAGTACATCCAGACCTCGAAAGATTCCCTGGCGCACTGCGCAATGCCCTCCAAAAAGCTTGCCAGACAGCGTTCTACACGCACATATCAACACTCCAGGCTGGTAGTTTACCCGAGTATCGTCAGACTTATAGCATCATATATGGTACACGCGTCCGCTCTGAGTCGATCACCTTCAACAACGAAACCGAACATTCGAATATCCTGGATCTCAGCATAGCCAACATCACCCTATTGAAGTTCTTCGCCGAGCGCCACAGCACCATGCTAGAGAAACGGTCATTCCAAGAGCAGAAACACATGGGACTCACCAACCCAAAGTTCCTAGAGCTTTACAGCGTAAGAAGGGGCGATCTGGGTTGGGGTCTGGACGCAGATGGGTGCCTATCTATCTACGCATCTTCGCTAGTCGAAAAAAAGACGAAGGAGCATGTTTGGTACGTCCAGGCTGACGATTCTCTAGTGCTCAAGGGCGAGAATTGAGCTGTCCGGAAGAGCTTACAGAGAGCTGAGTACAGAAAAAGGGAGTTAGGTCAGGTATGAAAGGCATGACCTAGGTAGTGATGATATTCGAGGTTTCGGAGTTGGTCGGAGTGTTCCCGGGAATGGGCCGGCTGGTTGATGCTAGAATTTGGCGAGGTGGTTCTTGCTGTACTTTTTGCTTGGCTGATTGCAATGGCAAGTATCACCCTTTAGCATTGAGAACGTTCACCTGAATCCAGGATGCAAGGTGGTGGCTCCGTTTCCGTGCAAGCTCTGGAGTGTGGCTCAGCCTGCGCACATTCGAGCGATGGTGATCATCCACTTCCAATCATCACCGAAGATGGTCTGCGCACACAAGTCTTTCTGTAAGGAATGTAATTCAAGCCTTGAAAGTTGGTGTTTGTGGTTGCCGTCCAAGAGCATCAGTTGATCGGGGAGAGCACGTGCCTGCTTACAGCTAGCGCCATCTTGGCACCACCGCACAGCCGAGCCAAAATTACCCTCTCAGATTTGCGACTCTGAACCCATCTATCGACAACATCACGACCGTCACGATGCCGAAAGAAGTCAAGCAGAAGTCTGGCCTCATCGTTGGCCTTAACGCCGGCCACAGTACGTCTCCCCGCTCGCCGCTCTCGATACGCACCGATCGCTACAGATGAAAAAATTCGTGGATGGAGGCTAACACGGTCTACAGAGGTCACCCCCAGGACCCCCGCTCCCAGGATCTCGAGGAGGAAGGGTTTCCTGTCGAAGCGCACTGCCTTCGTCCGTGAGATCACCAAGGAGGTTGCCGGGTACGTTCCAATCCGAACTTTTCTGCAGAGGGACTGCGCAATTGTTCGCCGAACAGCCCGCTAACTTGACGTGTCTACAGTCTTGCCCCATACGAGAAGCGCATCATCGAATTGCTCCGAAACTCCAAGGACAAGCGTGCCCGCCGCCTAGCGAAGAAGAGGGTACGTCTCCCACCCTAGCACACCCCGACCGACCTCCTACCCGCTCCGGCACATCCAAGTACGAACATCAACTAACACATCACAGCTCGGTACCTTCGGTCGCTCAAAGAGAAAGGTCGACGAGATGACCCGCGTCATCGCTGAGTCCAAGCGCGCTGGTCACTAAACGGTTCACGAAACGCGGTGGATGATGCAACACGGCGGACGAACGACCGACTTACTTTCCGATTTCTTCCTGGGTGTTCGGTCTCTTTTCACAACGGGCGGCTCGATACGATCTCGGAACGTCACAACATACCACAAAAAGTATGACACGATTCATCGGAGTATGGCAAATGGACAATGATGGTTCCTGAACGTACCTAGCATGTGTCACTCAAAATCATGAAATGTGACGATTGGTTCACGCCAAACCAACCTGTCCCAGTGCACCCATGCGCGTGAGGTGCTGATGCGTTGATGTCTACCTAGCATGGATGTCAAATTCCTACTCTATTGCCCTTATCAATGGCAGAGTAAGGGCCGAGAAATGCTTATATTGAAACGCGCCTTGCTCGGAGACGAGACTGCTCAGGCTTCACACTTCCTTGTGTGGGTGAGGCCTCGAGCAGGGGCGTGGACATTCCAACAACTCATATGATGTCTTTTTTCACACTTCCAGACGACTTGCGATGCGATACAGCACATGCAACTCACTCTGATGTCTCGATCAGACAGTAGCAACGATTGAGTATTTCAGATCGTTCGCGGGAATTGAACATCATGCATTAATCGTAATTCTGTCAAAACCAGTAAATGCTCCAAGATGACTCCATGCAACCCTAATGGCCACAACTATGACAGTGTAGTCGTTTAATCGTCGTGACCAATCTTCTCCAGTTTGCCAATCTCGCGCTTCTCGCCAGTCTCGCCCACGAATCTGATGCGGTCGATACGCGTCTTCTCGCTATCGCCCTCGGCGTCCGCGACAAACAGTACTAACGAGTAGACGTTCTGGAACTTGACGAAGCGCAGTTCAAGCTTGGCCGTTTGTGTCTGCTCATCCCAATCTGACGGCTTCAGCTCGATCGTCTGAGTCGCTGGGATGTCTTCGGCCTCTTCGAATCCCAGGTTATTTGCCCTGTTGGTCCAGACGTGAATGGTCTTTGGCCGTACTGGCGCTTCGTCGTCGTCTTCGTCGCCGGATACGCAAGACGTGATGTGGATAGTGTGAACCTTCAGGTTGGCCATGAAGGGTACGTACAGCATGAGCTGGTTATCGACATCGCTCTCTACCCAGTCCTTCTTGCCTTCTGAGCCGGTTGCCGCACCCTTGCCCTTGTTGAGCGAGCTCGGTTGTGATGTCTCGAAAAGCGTCTTGACAGTGCCGAAATCGCTGTCCGCGTTGAGGAGATCGAGACCCCGTGGGTCCACGGAATCGGTCACGTCGGTGTATCCGCGTGGTAGACTGGCGCCTATCCACGGGCCGCTTCCACTGCTGCTGCCCCCTGCACCAGAGGCGCCACTGTTTCCCTTTCCATCGTTCTCTGCTTCCGTGGCGAGGGTCTTGATCGCCTCGGAAAGCTGCTGTGGATTCGAGCCGGCGTACTTCTTTATCTGCTGGTTGTTCTTGTAGATGATGAACGTTGGGGTACTAACAAGGGTTAGAAAGCGCTCAAATATGTGGCCGTGCTTGGGGAATGTGCATACTTGGTGACGTTGTAGCTCTGTGCAATCTGCGCCTGCTGCACTGTGCTGACTTTGGCGAAGGCGATCTGTCCGGGCCGAGTGAGTTGACCGGCTAGTTGGTCGTATACGGGCGCAATCGCTTTGCTCGATGTGTTTTCTTCATTGTAGACTGCAAGTACCACACATTAGCATCCGGAGTTTGCCTCGTAGATGCCGGGTCGCTGCTTACAATTGATGACTACAATGCGCGAAGAGGAGAGCAGCTCGCTCAGCACTGCAGGCCTCGTGATTTCGATGACCCTGGACATGGCTGTGGGTGTGTTTGGGAGCTGGTGATGTTGTCTGTAGAAGAGGCGCGACTTGCACAGAAGGAAGCGCCCGACAATTAGTGGGGCGCCATCAGCGCGGGGTGGTGGCATTCCGTCACCGACGTGTGTACCTAGGCCGGGTCCCATCTGCAGGCACCGACACCTGCACACGCGGCAAGGCCACCCCGAAGCTTCCAGAAAGATAGAGCTGCAATCGCGAACAGCCACCCAAACATCTGCTCCCTCAACATCACTGGAGCCCAGGAAGACAACCACTCGCCGAGTCTATATCTATTCCATCGCCGTCGGAGCATCGTCCTCGCCATCACCCGCCAACCACGTCCATCACCACCGACCGCGGTGACTGCGCTGTGAAGCCATACAGGCCCACGAAGGATTGGTAAGCGCCCCTACTGGCGTTGACCGTCCGCGACACTGTGAACATCCACCTAATCGCCTCTATGGCAGGCCCAAACAATCTCCTACTCAGCTTCGCCGAAGCAAAGCTTCTACACATCGCTAGCATTATCCTCCTGGTCGAACGGAGCGACGCCACCCGAAGAGCCCATAGCTGGAACTGCTGGTACTCCCGCGCCATTCTGATAGCCAACGCGCCCGCTGCTTTCCTGCTCGCCCACGGCCTCTACCGACTCCTACGCGCATGATGTCGCACGTCGTAGTATTCAACTCGTACGCGAGGACGTTCAAGATCCCGACTACGCCCATCAAGTACTTGACAGAGGTGCGCGATGAGGCGTGCCAGAAGTTTGGTGTCAACAAGGACCAGTTCACGCTCAAGTACGCCCCAACATGACAACACGTTAATTCACTACTGACCAGTGTACAGATACAACAACAAACCCATATCCCTATCGCAACAAATACGGCTCGCAAACCTCCCCCAGGGCGCCCGACTGGAACTCGTCCAGGCCTCGCGATCACCCACCGTCATATCCGTAGCGCTCCAGCTCCCCGCGACCGAGAAGAACGTACGCCTCACAAGCAAGTTCGCGAGCAACACTTCGTTATGGGAGATCTTGCGACACTTTGAGAGTGGGCAGGGGGCCAACTACAACTTCACACAGCGCGGCATCCCCGAGATGAGCGGCGCATCCGGTGCTGGCAGGCTGCACTACGAGCAACCTGTCATCACTGTCATGCCAGGTCACAAGGAGCAGGCCAACTTTGTTGAGCTACAACAGACTCTCAGTCAGCTGGGATTTGATAGCGGCTCAGCATTATTAAAGCTGTCCTACAGGAATAGCGGAACGCCGCTGGAAGAGGCCATGGCACAGATAACGCAATACTTCAAGTCCAGCGAGCCTGCGTCTGTCGGTGCCGAAGGCGCACACGCTTCGACAACTGATCAATTAGCCTCAATACCAGACCCTGCCCAGGCAGCTCCGGAGGCGACAGAAGTCGTAGCAGGCGAAACTGTTCGTAACGAAGAGCCCGATCCAGAGCCGATGGAGGTCGACTCCAAACCGGCCGTTAAACCTACACAAGAGCCCGAGGTGTCTACCGAGAACAACGCGGCTGAGAGCATAGAGAATACTTCTCCAGCAGCAGCATTGGCTGCGGCAACGTCAACAGCGTCGTCCGCACCCGTAGAACCCATTCAATCACCAGCACCGACCTCCCAACCATCATCACAGCCATCTGAACAATCTCGCAACGTCCAGATCTTCTCTGCGCCAACATCGTCCACTCCGCAAGCAGCGCGAAATGCCTTCAACGAGAGCGACTACCTCCCTACCATTGAACACGCAAAAGCACATCAAAACGCGTTGTTGACCAAGACACGCAATACGCGTCTGTTGTCTGACAAAGAGTTAGAGGAGCAAGAAAAGGAGCGGCAGGCCAAGATTGACGCTGCAGCCGAGAAGGGCGGCGCACTCCGCATTCGGATGCCGGATAATGCGCTCATTCAGATGAACTTCACAAAGACCGATACCGCCGTCGGCCTATACGACTTCGTACGCGGCTTCCTGGAGAAGAAGAACGAGCCCTTCCAGCTCAAGAACACGGGTCCAACAGGTCGACTCGTCCTCATTCCCCAGGACAATAAGCGCTTAGTGCACGATCTACGTTTCTTCAACAATGAGCTCGTCACGTTTCTATGGGCAGACAACGCTAGCGCGGAAGCAAGGGCCAGCCGACATGTGCTCTCGCAGGAATCGCAAGCGAAGGCGCAGGCGCTCAAGGTCGAGGAACCGGTACGGGAAGAGAGGGCTCAGCCGCAGGCTTCTCAGGGCCAGACGGTTGCCGACGGCAAGCGCAAGGCTAACATGAGCAATGAGGAGAAGGAGAGCAAGCTAAAGAATCTGCTCGGGAAGGGCTTGTTCAAGAAGAAGTAGAGGTATTGCAGATGGGGATGGGATATTAGACATTCGCGTGTTTCCAGACGAGCATTTTCAGGGAGTTTGGCATCGGCGACGGAGCGCTTTCTTCTGCAGTGCAGTGTATCCTGCCACTTGGAAACTAGTTATTAGTAGCAATCCAGGATCATGATCATGATCAAGAAGACCACAAAATTTCGTTTGCACGATTTCACTCAGCATGGAAAGCTGCCAATTAGTACCGAGGAGTCTAACGTCGCGTGTCGGGGTGGGGGTGGGTCAATGATGCACTTTCCCAGGTTGCTAACTAGCGGAAGACGCCTACCCAGGCTAAACCTTGAGTGAACATCTCTCCTTCCTTTCGACACCATCACAGTATCACCATCTACACAATTTGCTCTAGCAAGGAATACATTATGAAACGCCGTCGTCGATTCGATAGATTCGGCATTAACAGTGATTATGGTTGACAGCCTGTGTTCTCGTTCACCGCGCGTCGCAATCAACACCAAGCGGCCAATATCGCCTTTGCTCCTAGTAAACACATGTGGATTGGGCAACGCATAAGAGGATGGAAGCTGTGACAGATATGGTATGATGACTTCGACATGTCCTTGAAACGCCTTCATTGACAACTGATCTCGCCAGGCCGCCAGGCCATGGCATCCGCTAAAGTTTCGTCTTCACCTTCGATCACGTCTACATAACTGAATACAGCGTGCATGCTTGACGTTACAAGGCAACAACTTTCTCCTTCACCGTGCACCACAATAGCCAAATTCGGTCGTCCTGCCGCCCGAGCTAGCAGCAAGTCACCGTCACCTTCACCGCGTGTGCGGCAGTCTCGACAGATAGTCACTGTCTCCAGCTCAAAGCTCCGTTGCCTAAACACGACAACCCAACAGATCCGCAGACACGGTAAGTACTCGGCGCCGAACCTACCCAGCAGACACTGGCACTAAAACAAGCAGATGCAAACAGAATACACCATCCTAAGCTCCGATTCGAGCAGCTCGGGCGACGACGACGATGTCATCTTCGTCCGATCGGTCGAGAAGCCACGCGCCCCGAAAGGCAACGGTCGTCCAACCAAAAAGCGCGCAAACCCCAACAACGTCTCAGCTCAGACGGTTTCCCCAAGCCCGGCGGCCAAGAAGCGGAACGGCGGGCCTCAGGATACAAAGCGCACGAAAATCAAGAACGTATCGGCTCAGGCTGTCACTCCTACCTCTGCGACCAGAAAGCGAAGCGAGGGTGATCAAGCTACACCACGCGTCAACTCCAACAACATCTTCGCTCAAGCTCTCTCACCAAGCCCTGCGGCCAGAAAACCAGTCAGTATTGGTCAAGGTCCAATGCATACGGGACCTTCTGACTTCTCGATGTGGGCGGTCTCCTCGAGCTCTGCGGCCGGAGCGCAGATCGGCGATAGAAATGCCTTGGCTATTGCTGCTAAGATCAACACCACGGCGCGTGGTCCAGGACAGAACGCTACATTCATGCTCGCGACCCGCAACGTTCTGGAAGCAGCACTGGGCAAGGAGGCCTTGGAAAGCCAAGAGAAATCCCTCCTCGAGGAGCAAAAGCGTACTGATCAGTACATCGCGCAGCTGGAAGAAGCAGTCAAGCAGAAGGGAGGAGTAAACGTTTCGCACAATCTCATTGCCCAGAATCATATAGCCATGTTGAAGGCGAGGTATGAGGCAAAGGAGAAGACTGCCTCGACAGAGATCAAGATACTTCGCGAGAGTAACAAGAAGCTCACAGAGGACAAGACAAAGCTCACGCGCAGTATCAAGCTAGTTCGAGACGGACATGGCGCTGTGGAGGGCATGGCTCAAGACGACGCTAGCGCGGAGATTCAGATACTTCGTGAGACCAACGAGAAGCTCTCTGATGAGAAGAGTCAACTGTTGCGCACCATCAGTGTCATCCAAGATGAGACTCGTATGTGGAAGACCAAGGCAAAAAAGAAAGAAGCTGCCGGAGAAGATCTGGAGACACTGCGCGGACGCAACGCAAAGCTCGCAGGAGAGAACGCTGAACTTGTACGCAATGTCAAGCAACTCAAAGACGAGCACGAAGAAGATCTCAAGACACTACGTGAACGCAACGAGAAGCTCATAGGAGAGAACACCGACCTCACAAACAATGTCGAGCAACTCAAAGACGAGCACAGTACTCTGCGGGCCGACGTCTCCGCCTTGACACAGGACCTCTGCGAGCAGAAGAAGCTCTTCGCGTCCAAGAAGATGCAACGATCCAACGGAGACGTCAAGGTCGCCGCCGCTGAGACTAAGAAACTCAAGAATGAGATCAAACGCTTCAAGGCAAGGAACAAAGGGTTGACTGAGCAAAACACCAACTTGTCTGGCAAACTCGCGGAGCTGGGTACCGAGCGCCGTACCACTCTCGACTACCAGAAAGCCGCGAAACAGTCAGCAGAAGAAGCTTCGGTCGCACGTGAGCGCATCGAGAAACTGCAACAACAACTCGTCAAGTTGGATGGAGACTTCCGCGAGCGAGGTGACCAGCTTGCCGAGCTCAGCCGAGACTCCGAGTCGAAGCACGAGATGAGGATGCAGAAGAAGGCCGCCATCAAAGACAAGGGCCTGCTACAGACGCGTATGGTCGGTATGTTCACGCACTATCGGAACCTCTTCAAGAAGAATAAGGCTCTGCTAGAGAAGCTGAAGTCGACGGCTGAGGCTGGGGCAGATGGACAGGCAGGAAAGGCGTACCGTAAGGAGCTGAAACTGTTGAAGGGCCAGCCGCTTGGGAAGCTCAGCGAGTTCAAGAATCAGGACTAATCAACTTTATCGGCGGCCGTGCACGGCGAGGATATGTTGGAATCTTACGAGAGACTCACGTCGCGGTGCTACAAGCGGGCGTCTACTTGGTGGATTGGTATTATGAAGGGATACTTGATGTACATCGTCGATCATGTTGGTGTACGAGGAGAGGAGCTTGTCGGCTGTATCATCACCGCAGCCTTTCATGTCTTTCGGACTGGAACATCGGCTGTCAAGAGTATGAGCATGGCGATCTCGTCGAGTTACTAGTCAAGCTCTAATTTCTCCTAAATTTCTTACAATTCTCTAATTCGCAATCGCTGTGACGTAGAAATGACAAGTAGACGCTGAGAGGCGTCGTGGTAGGGAACGAATGTGAGATGAGGAGTGCCAAAATGAATGCTTGCAACTCGCAGGTAGGGCTGAGTAGGTGACTGCGATCCGTGATAAGAATACTGCGTCAGAGATCACAAGACAGCATGCGTATTTGCTATCTGGCCCACGCGCAGCACTCATTGAGCGCAACTCATTTAATTTCCAGATTTGTATAAGACAACCTATCTCTCATCATCCGGTACCGTTCTCTCATCACACCATCACGTTATGTCCACTTCCCAACAAACCAAACAAAAAGCCATGGAAACTACTCTCCAGCGCCTCCAAAACGGGTTGAACACCATGAAGAACGACACAAAAGATCTCCCCAGCGAGATCAACGACCTGCGAAACAAGAACGCAGATCTCGAGAGCAAAATGGCTCTCGTCACCGCAACTGTCGCCTTCACCAACACTGTGAATACTCTCACTGCCGAAAGCACCGCCACGATCCGCAACGACGCAGAAGAAGGCAAGAAGACCATCACGGATAAGATCAAGGAATTCCAATCCCTGTTGGAAACCTGCGTGGAGGAAACCGTGAGGGGGGAAATGGTTCCAAACATGGTTTCATGTCTGGTTATGGATGAGATGAAGACTGAGGAGGTGCAGGAGATGCAGAAAGAATACGCGAGGAAGGCTTTGACTGTTGCGGGGCCGGAATGGATCTACAAGAAGTTGGAGTGGATGGTGGGGAATGCGGTTGAGAAGGTTATGAAGAGGATTGACGGGCTTGAAAAGTAGCTGATAGCCACGAGGGAAGGGCCGAGAAGGGAGGTGCTTAGCTGAGACGTGGGGCAGATGGTTGTTGTTTTTAGATCTGTGAATGCATCGCCTCCACGTGTCTACCCCAATTTTGTAGTATTCGTCATCATAGGCGTGCCACAACACTTTGACTATATTATCGCTGATGAAGAAAAGCCAGATCATTCTCAAGACATGCAAACGCCTCGTCACTAGGAGACCCTTAACGGTCGAGGACGACTATCGAGCTCATAGCATACGTACCACGAATTAGAAAACCGCTGATTTGCCATGTAATCATGCGATCCAGTCATTCGGTTTGTGACAAACCCACAAGGGATGTAGTGTAGTAGCACTATAAGACATCCGCTTTCTCACTTCTTCCTATCCTATCCATCTTAAATCTCATCACCACAACGACAGGAGACACAAGCTCAATGGACCCCCCATTCCTCCAGAACAAAGACATCAAAACGGCCACCCAACCCGCCAAAGATGCTAGCCAACTTCTCGTAGAGGACATCAGCGCAATCAGAACTGACATACAAAGTCTTGCCCAACGATTCGATCGCATGGAACGCAATATCAAGACCGCCAACAAACCAGGACTTAATGAAAGACTCGCTTCATTCACCAAGGCAGTCGCCGCCAGAAACCGTGATGGAAAGTGGGTTAGAGCTGAGGCTGCGGAAAAATTGACTAAAGAGTTGAGGGAGGAGGAGGAGAAGATGGAAGATTCGGCATACTACTGGTTCAGAGACTTGAGAGAATGGCTGAAAAAGGGCTTAGCGAATGTGGAGGAGACTGAGAAGAGGTCCCGTGAGCACCTAGAGGGGGTGTCGAAGAGGATGGATGCGTTGATGGATGAGCAAGAGGAACTGGGGGCATAGGCGCTGGAGTAGACGAACTTCGCCTGGAATCATTGCAAAGAGCGGTTAGTGGTATGAAGACATGGGACATGGGCATAGAGAGGCCTAGAGCTTAGTGTATATATCCGTGATGAAGACGTGAAGTCATGGGTTGAGCAGTTTAAGGTTATGGTAGCCTTTCCGAGAACATGCTGTAGCATTAATCTCACTCCTCACGCACAACGCAGTTTGTCATATCGCCCATACTGAAGCACGAGAACATTCGAACATCACTCTCCGACCAACCTGCATGTTCCTTTGACTTCCGCCTATACAAACAGACAAACCAGGTCTTGCCATATAATAGACCACTGGGCGAGTAAACGGAAAAACAGTAAATTACGAAATGTCACTTCCCATCCAACCAATTCCTTTCCGTGAGGAGATCAAAACTCTGATTGAGCGCATCGCAGCTCTACAGAAGGAACTCAAGGAGAAGACAGATAGACTCCACTTTCTCTATGGCTTCGAACTGAGGTCTTCCGCTGCGCCAGTAGGCAATAACAACGGCGATGAAGGAGCCGAGGATGACAAAGATGATGAAGAGAGTGAGGATGAGCAAGAAGTCGAAGCAAAGAAGACAGGCATCAAGAAAACAGCTGCCAAGACAAAGGTCAACAAATCAGCCATTAAGACAAGCGTTAAGAAGGACGGAAGCAAGAAGGAGCCAAGATTATGCAAAAAGTGTGAGGAGAACTACTTGGAAGACAACGCCCGTTCCAATTGGGTAAACTGTAAGGAGTGTAGACATAAGAACACAGAGGATTGGAATGAGGGACGGATAAACAGGGAGCGAAAGCAGAAGGAGCAGAACGCAAAGCGAAAAAAGCAACAGGGAGATGAAGTGGATGGAGATGAAGTGGAAGTGGAAGGAGATGAGGTAGGCGACGAACGAGAAGAGGCCGAGGAAGGAGGTGAAGAGGATCTAGAAGATGACTCAGAAGAGGAAGAACAGGAAGCAAAGAAGAACCAGGGCAAGCAACTGTAAGACCAAGTCTGGAAAAGCTGCTTCAGAACATACTTAGCTTGTCACCGTCGTGTAGTTCCAAGTATAGCACCATCAAAAATCTCATATTCATCACCCCAAATGCGAATGACCTAAGATAACATCCCCTTTCTTCCCCATCGTTCATGTTTATGCCTGCCCAGGACCCAATCGCTCATGCCATGGTATAGTACCCGAATGAATGACGCCAGTAAATGCTTCGACAAAGCTCGCTGAACCCATTTTGATGCCGCTAAAAACAGACGTGAAAACAGACATGCGCTCGCCATGCTCTTAGCCCAAAAAGATAAGAATAGTCCAAGACTAAAAGAGTGTGATGCCCAAAACACCAAAGCAACAAAGCGATAAAATAAAGGAAATATATGACATGATGTCGTGTTAGATAAGAGGGCCCGCCATCATAGGACTTCCCCGCGTGTTGTTCGTCAAAGTGGGTTCATATGCTCCGGGCGAGCCCGAGGAACCTGGCCGTGGTCGGTAGTAGCTGTTTGCATACTGTGCGGGAGGAGCAGCATAAGCACCTTGTTGCGGTGGGAGAACACCGGGTGGCGTAGAGTTTAGCATGTTGCGGTTGCTACGGCGTCGACCAAGCACTGGTGATGCAGGAGCACCTTGAACCGTCCCAGTGGAGTTGCTGGACTCGTTTGAATTGCTCCTCACGTGTTGTGCTGTAGCTGGCTGCTGCATCTGAGGAGAGCCAGTTGGATTCGCCGGACGCTGGAAGCCTTGTGTGAACGGATTGGTACGAGCGGGCACACTCGTGTCTCGCTGACCAAGTGCTTGTCTTCTGGTCTCGATAAGTTCCCGAGCCCGAAGATTGCGTTCGTCCGGAGTCAGCCCGACGGAACGAGCAGCAGGTTGCGCAGGTGCTTGTACGTTCTGTGTAGGTGATGGGGGAGGTCTCCCATTATCAGCCGTGCGCAAGGCTCGTGTAGATGGCTGAGGAGCGAGTTGGCGCCGCGATGGCTGAGGTCGTAGATTGAGACGTGATGGCTGAGGCCTCACGCCTTGCGGAGGGTTGCCAGCCTCTCTAATATTGACGCGAGAGCTCGCTGGGCGCAAGGTAGCTACCGAAGACTGATCACGGAGAACTTGACGCGAGTTACGATTGCGCACACCACGTGCCTGCACAAATGCAGCCCAAGGGTTACCGCGCGCAGCAAAAGGAGGAAGAGCCGCACCCTGGACATGCAAGCCCATGGCAGCATGAGGAAACGCGTTCGCTGCAGCAAAGTTGCCAGAGTTCCTCCTGCTATTTGCCGAAGATGGGCGAGCACCGACTCGACTTATAGGACGATCTATCATGTCCATGGCTGCAGCTGCCTGTGTCTGTGCTATCGTATCGATGGAGTGTTGCGAAGAGGCTGAGGAACTTCCAGGGGTCAAGACGGCAGAACTATTGCTGTTGGAACCAACAGAAGGCGCACGATCAAAGCGGCCCATGTTGCCGGCATTGCCCATCGCTGGTAAGCCAGGTGACATGGCGCTTCGTCGAGGTGGCGATATTGGGAGTCGCGGGTCCATGATATAGTTCGTGCCGTTGTCCATAAGCGGCGTTCGAATTCGCGCAGGAGGTAGAAAAGGGGAATAAGCTTGCGCGGGACTGGGCCGATTTCTGTTCCTTGTTCGAGGACGAGACAGCGGCGTCATGGTGCGTGGTTCGACGTCTATCAAGGCGCCTGCCATCTGGTGTTGTTGGAGAGCTTGTTGATGGGCAGCGAACATCCAGCTGATACGCGGATCGTATTCCCGGCGTGGCACGCGAGGAGCCCCTCGCCTGTGCCCTTGGGAATTATCCGAGTTATCATCAGTGTCCGCCTCGTTGGTTCCATCCGCAGCAGCAGGCCCCTGGTTGTAAGCGCGAGCTGCAGGATTTCGCAGATGGGCTTGTGAGCGGCGCGTCCGCAAGGTGTTCAGGGCTAGATCGACGTCGCCATCTTGGTCAGAGTCATCGTCGTCCGCTTCCCCATCTTCGTAGTGGGCTGTCGCGCCCGACAGGACAGAGGATCTTCGGCGAAGACCACGCGAGGTATTCAAGACGCGGACATTGGCGGTTCTGGAAGGCGGGCGTATCGGGGCACTAGGCCGAGGACGATCTGCAGTAGGTGTTAGAGAACCGCCCATTCGGCTTCTGTCATTTGAGTTCGCAAGCGGTTCCCACCCAACGGTCGTCCTTCCTCCATCGCTGTCATCTTCATCCTCTTCTCCCATCTCGTCGTCGTAGTCGCGTTGTAGCTCCCACCCCTCCTCTCGCAACAGTGCTTGTGTATCTTCGTCGAGCTCCTCAGTGGAGACGTCGGTGGAGGTTGTTGACGCTGTCTCACGGGAGGATCTCGACCCGTTTGCCCGATGTAAGACACGGGTTTGAGCAGGATTCCTCAGGCCCCTACGAACGGGCCCTTCGTCTTCCTCGTCTTCGTCTTCCTCCTCGACGGTGCTCGAGCGGTTTGATGAAGACTCAGATTCGACGATGCGACGTGCTCGGGCACGCGCTCTGTTACCCGAAGGCTGGGCAGCAGGACCAGGAGTGGACGATGCGGCACTGGGTGAACTCGATGCAGGTACGGCCTCGTCATCGATAAAGTCGTTCATCGAAGAGTCCTCGTCCAGGCCATCTTCGTCTTCCTCTTCGACCGTATCCATCTCGTCGCCGTATATGTCTGAGACTATGCTCTGTGAGTAGGAGCGTCGGCTACCGGCTTCGCTGTGCGTGATCGGTCGTCGTCTTGCGAATGCCGCTGCATTGGGTGCCATGCCAGCGTCCAAGAAGCGTCGCATCATGAACGAGCCTTGATCTGGGGGGTATGCGCCCCAGTCTTCCATGCCGTCTCCGTAGCCGTCGTAGTCGGGGTCCTCCATGTCCATTTCGGCGTCGAGGTCGTCTTGATCGTGCTCTGACATCTCGTCCATGTCACTGAAGCCGGTGAAGCTGTTGCCCCATGAGACTTCGCCTGTCTCGTCGAATATCAGCCCGCAATGGGTGCATCCGCCGTCTTCCAGCTCCCAGGTACACAGCGGACATCGGTCAACTCCATCTTCTTGATCGCGCACGATTTGCAGTGACAGGCGGTTTTGGTGAGGCGGAAGCCTGAAGCAGCCTTTGAAGAGACCGCCAGCGCGGGGGTCCGCGTTATCCTTGTCCAGCTGTACAGCGTCTGCCTCGTCTTTCTGCCACTTCTTGTGGTCTTCTATGCTCTCGCCCGTGGGTAGTAGTTCGGCTCGCGCGATGAAGACGCTCGTCATGTCTCGTATCTGACCAACTGTGTTAGACGTCGTCGCTGAACGGCATGCAGGCTGACTTACCACATAGGCCGGGGCGGGCAGGTCCTTTACGACGATGCGGCAGTCGGGGCATGTCTTGCGGGCCTTGTTGGCGACGAACCACGTGCAGAGACACTAGGCATGTTAGAGGGTGGCATATGCGGTGGGAGGGTGCGCGTCTTACTGTATAGCAGTAGGTGTGCCCGCAGGATATGGTGTACGGTTGGTAGAGTAAGCGGTCACAGATCTTGCATGTGAGATGCGTGCGAAGGCTGTCAAACTCCGACTTGAGCGCCTTGAGCTGCTGCGGACGGTTAGTCGATGCATGTGCCATGCAAGAAAGAGGACTCTCATACTTCATCTGCGCGGCCCAGCTGTGGCGGCTCGTCCTTCTTGGTCAGCATCTTCTGTTTGAGGCTGTCTTTGCTTGCTGCCCGCGTCGGCTTGTCCTGGTCGATGAGTTTGGAGGCAGACCGGCTGGCCGTCGGCGTGCTCCCGCGCCCGGCCCGTGAATTCGAAGGCATGCCGGCAGACTGTTGCGAGGCAGGCGCGGCATGTGACGTTGTGTTGGACGAGGATGCGATGGACGAGGCGGAATTCCTGGGGCGAGCGGTGGGCGGGGTTGGCGACGCTCGATTATCCATGGCGGGCGGTGACTCTCTTTTCTCACGGCGAGGTGCAGCTGGGGGTTGGAAGACGGAGCATCTGCTCACATGGGACTTGCCCTTGTAGAGAAGAAAGACTATCGCTGGCAGTGGTTATGCATGCAGCAGCGGGTCTACTAGCCTAGGCATGCTGGCGCTCGGTCGCTGTTGCCCTTGCCCTCCGGCCATTTGCCGCAGCAGCCGTTCACTATCGACCTTCACTCCGTCCTTAGCGCCTGCCGTGGAAAATCACCATCCTCCAGCGCCAACCATCGCCAACCATCTCCATGGCTATCTCTGCTCTCATACCTGGTCATTTCTCATTGGGTCCAGTGCTCCTATTGCAAGCTTGACACGCCAATGACGTGGGCCACGCGACTCGTCACGTTCCTATCACATTCCATTTTCGCCCATGCCATCATTCAACGTTTTTGCTTCACGTTTCTTTTGATCCTTTTTCCATTGAGCCGCGGTCCCAAACAACCACAGTTCAAAGACGCCAATACCTGGTATTCCCGGCGCACGAAAGAGGGCCTCTTTCCCCACAGGCTTCCTAGCTTTCGGCGCGGCACCACCGCATGCAGACGCGGTCGAATTGACCTTCATTGTTGCGCTCACAGCTCATACCCGTCTCCGCTCCGCTTCACTCAGAGTGCTGATCATCACTGCGGTTGGAGTATTCGTGCTCGACACTTATCAGGTCCATGCATAGCGTCCCCGAGAAGGAGTGCCTGTGATTGTAGGCGGGACCTTGTCGGCTCCTCTAATGCGAAGCATGACAAGCATCCTGGCCGCACTGTTCAAGTGCGTAAGAAGGGATATTTCTTCGATATCGTCCTCGAGCTGCGCACCACCCCGATCAAGTCATATATAACATGTGCTATGCGCAAGACCGCCTAGCCTGACGAAGAGTGGTGGTTTTCTGCAATTGTAGTCCTGGCCAAATACGTTACCAAGGTACATGATCGCTTGTCAATCACATGCATGAAGCATACAACTCATGACTAGGGTGCTAGCACTATCTCGTAAGTAGAATCGTAAGTTGTGGATGGCACGACAGCCGTCTTGATACACGCG